AGTCTTTTTTTAATTAATTAATATGCAACAATGGTTCTAAAACAATTCAATTCAATTTGGCAAGTGCAATTTCGATTTCGACTATTAAGAGAAAGAAAACAAATAAAAAACACAAAATCTTGGAGAGAAAAGATTGTAATTTTGACCAAATCTTCTTTTTTACTTTTTATGCTTTTTTATTTTTTACTTTTTTTTGCTTTTTCTCTATCTAATCTACATGAATTTACCAAAAACAACAACTAATCTAGCGATCACGACTGTAACTTAGGAAAGCTTCCTTGTACTGCTCAAACTCTGGGGAATGGAAAAGCAAGAAGCAGTTTCTTTCTCCAATACACAAAGGGATATCACATACAACACAGCAAAATGATGAGGTTTTTGCTCTATAACTTTGATCTATGCTATGCATGGACTTCATAACTGAGCAAACTTTGCAAACTTGGTGTTTCTCAAGCTTCACCGGCAAATGCCCTTTCTCTAATCTATTCTGCCACAATTCCTTTTTACTAACTGCCTTCTTCAAAGTTGCTGATCTTTGCTTTGCACTATTTACTGCATGAGCTGTTGCCTTACAGATGAAGTCCTCTACATTACTAACTTTAGTACCTAAATCTGCAAATGATCTGACCTCTGGTTCTGCTCTAATGGCTTTCTGCTCAACAAAAGCAAGCTGAAGGGCTAAATCCTTTTTAAAATCAAGAAAAGAATAGTTCTTAGGCATTTTCTGCTCAGGGGTTGGGTTTCTAATCTCTCTCCAAAACACATATGCATCCCAAGCACAAATATCAACAAAATGAAAGAATAATGTTTTCCAAAACTTTTTAGTCCTATATTGAACAGAATACATATGGTACATCTGATCAGACAAATCTACACCATTCATATCTTTGTTATAATCTGAAATGCATTTAGGCCTCAAAACCTTAACCTTTTTATGACTTCCATCAACCTTTGTATTCCTTGTACAATAATCATAATCATTGGCAGAATGGTAGGTGGAGAGAACAGAGACAACATTCCTATCAACCCACTGTACAAGCAACACATCATTTGGCTTTTCCCCATTTCTAATATACCTTATTGTTCCTCGATCAAGTTTCTTCCCCCAAGACTGCCTATTTTTCATTACCTCAGGAAAGGATGAGGAATTTTCCCTTACAGTACCAACAGCATTTATACCAACTGAAGTCAAATATTGGAACAATGGGACACTGCAATAAAAGTTATCAGCAAAAAGAACATACCCCCTGTTTACCAGAGGTTTTGTTAAATTAATAACAACTCTGGCAGCTAATTGGTTGATGAGATTTCCTGCATTTTCTGGATTGGGGTTTTCATTAAAAGCCTTAGCTCTACCAAGTCCTCTTTCTATCCCTTCAAAACTATTATCAACAACACTGAAATCATCCCAATCATCCTTTCTGCTTTTACCAGTATAAACCACCATATCCCAATTGTAGCCTGTAGCAGAATCAGCTAGAACCCAAAGTTTGAAACCCCATTTAGTGGGCTTATTCATTATATATTGTTTGAAGAAGAACCCACCCTTAGACTTAACCATACGTTCATCTATAGACACACATTTACCAGGAGTAAAAAGTTCCTTACAGCGACTTCGCATATGGTCATAGAAATTCCTTATTTTTCCTAATGGATCACTTTTGTCCTCTGTCTCAGGGTTTACACAATGAAGGGCAGCAAGTATTCCACAATACCTAGAAAATGTTGGAATAAACATTGACCCAAGAAGACCAGAAAAAAGCTTATCATTCTGCCAGTAGTTACGCCTAGCAGGGGCCTTAACAATACCCATATAAAATAGACAGGCAAGAAACCTCCTAAATTCCATCAAATCAATGGGTCTCCACACATGGCAACCATGGTCCTGGGACATGTAGCTTTGACCTATTCCTTGACCATACACAGCATAAATGTTTGAGTTTTCAATTATGGTTCCCATCAGATCAAAAGAAAAAAAAAGGAGGAAAAAGTCTAAGGCTCTACAAGGGGCACTGCCTCTCGCCCAAACTACTTTTGGGCCAACACTGCTTACATTATGTGGTGGAAGCCACTTCTGTTCCCTATCACCTGTGTAGCCTAGAGACTCTGCCAAACTACAATCACTATCCTGATACTCCTCTTCACTAACTTCTGACTCGTCATGGATCTCATCGACTACTACAGCTCCGTCCAACTCATCGTCCAACTCAACTGGATGTCCTGAACCAGCCAGACTCTGCCTAAAACAAAGATATAGAAAATAAGCAAGACAAGATGATTTATAATTTGGTAATTTCTGCAGCAGTGCAACAAATAGTAAAGAAATCTAAGTGAATCTGTTCAGAGCCACCATATACAAAATCAGCTGATTTGTTTATCACGGGCCTAAAATTTCTTGAAAACCACTCCCAAAAAAAACAAATATTTTTGGCCGTATTTAGTTAGCCATTATTCTAAGATTTTCACTACAGCTTCAGAAATGGTTCTTCTTTATCGCTAATGTATCCAAAAGTTTGAAGGAAACAATATGTAAACTTACGATCCACTCTCATTCGAAGTTTCAGGATTTTCTTCTCTTTGTCGCTTCCTGCAGGGCTTCCTTCGTCTTGGTTCGTCCACTCTTTCCGTCAGAGGTGCTACAAACCGAATTTCTACCTCTCTACCACTTAATAAGGCACAGTCGATCTCAAATTCATCTTCTGAGTCAAGTCCGTTCTCATTATCCATTTTAAAATCAATTTTGAAAAACACGCCTCATTCACGACATACGCAACAAGATCAGTCAAGATGGCGGTTACAGGCCCACGTTGTCTGGGATATTTATACGAAAGAAGCGCATAAATTAATCAAATAAGTATAATTTTCTAACTGTCCAATCATATTTGAGCAATTTTAGCATAAGTTAAGGAGGGTATGTTGCCTTGGAGCTCTAAAATAAAATATTTTCGGCTAGGGTATCGGTCACGTGGTCTTATCCAGATGTACATCTGGATAAGGAATTAAAGGGTTAACATAGAGACACAAATATTACAATAATAAGCTACAAAAGTGATTGGAGTGGTGTCGCCCATCGTTCCAATAGCGTTGCAGATATGACAAATACTCGCAAAAAGCTATTTTAAAAGGAGATATCAAGTTTACCTATGTTCCTTGCTAATCAAACAAATTTGCGCCCAGACATGATGAGCGACACCACTCCAATCGTAAAAGGAATAAAATTTATACAAAAGAGGAAATAATTTACACGAGAGAGGTTTTCACGTGAAAGTTGATAACTTACTGGAACCGTTCTGAGGCCTGAATGTATTTCAATGTTGCATCAAGAATGTTTGTATTTGAATCAAAAGGTAACTTTCCATGGCCATAAAGGAGTATTTGCAATAGTTCTTTGTTTGGAGAATTAGATAGGCCATGAGGACGCAATATTGTATTAACGCTGTCGAGAAGATCACGTCTGTGTATGTCATAGGCACTGCAGAGCAGCAAAAAGTGCTCCGTATCCTCAATACCATCATTTATCAGGCACGGGGGATTAAAAGTATCCCTAAAATTATGTTTAAATTTGTGGTAATTTAACTTACTTAGTCCAACGCGTGGCTGCGTTAAAACAGATAAAAGTTTTGGATCATGAATTCCGTAGACCGATTTAGAGGGTGGACGAATGAGTCCTAGAAGTTGTTTCTTGAAAACATTCACTGAGCGGGATTCACGAATTTCAGGGTCAAGTTTTTCCCATTCCGACAAGCAGTTTGGGTAGAAAGTTGATTTAAATCTTTCTGTTCTCGCATGTATTTGCCCTATTGTAGCTTGCCTGCGCAGACTGTAGTTTGACTCCTGGCGTTGGGGTATAGGATTTCTTGTGTAATCCGGAGTTAAATTTTTCATGATCTTATAAAAGAGGACAAGACGCCTACTCCATCGACGGAGGTCGAGAGACTCCCAGCCAAGCTCTTCATATATTTTTCACGCGATGTGCCCTTCCAAGCACCAGTTACTGACCCTTTCTTCCATCTTGCAATTGACCCCTTCTTCCTTTCTAGCATTAAAGAGTCAAGAGCTCGATGTGAAGTGCAGTCGATGCTTCACTTCTTCCGGAAAACAGGGAAATTGGACACAAGGCGCACTTTTACCAAAAAGGGCCTATTCGCTTGGATTTAATGCCAACAAGAAATCTTGAAATTATCAACGTTTAGTTTTCTTGGGGGACTGTCATATGTAACCAAAAGAGCAACTACTGCTGCATGATTCCTTATTGATTTTAAGATGTGAAGGTCTACGAATTACCAAAAACATCTTCCGCAGAACATATTTTACCTGAAATTTAGTATAGAGCTACTTTTTGGAGACGGTTTGACGCCCCCCCCCCCCCATACCCCTCAGTCACAACGGTCTTTAAAGGAATGTCTGTCCACCGGTGCCTAGACTGTTAAAACATAGCATATATTGAACGTGGTAGAAAATGATAAGGACAAAGCTTCAAAATTTTGAATTTAAATAAATAAATATCAGCTGATAAGCCATCACAACATAAACACGTACATTGTGTTTATATATTAATTCGATATATAGATACTTAGTTATTCGAAATATTCAGTACCCAAGCAAACTATATTCATTCACAACAATATAAAGATAGGCGTAGCATAATATTAACTCACCAGCAGAGGTTACAGAGCCACGCAGTCCACTCTTGTGTAGCATCACCAAGCCTGATCACATTGGTTTGGTATTGTACCATATACAAAGAAACTGTCGTTTTTATGTTCCTTTTCACAAAATGCTTGTATTGTGATGTAACTTGGGAAAGGTTAGTTGCTTTTTTGCTGACTTCAGGCTGTTGCTCAATTGCCGACCGAATGTAACTTTGACTTGATTTGCCGACGG